CTTCTCTACAAATAATAACTTGATTGAAGAAAAATTTTCATACACTGTGTTCTGATCACAGTTTCTCCCTAGCTCCTCCCAGATCCTCCTACCTCCCCACTCATTCGACTCCGCCCTTTCTCTGTCTTTAGAAAACAAACAGGATAAAAAGAAAAATCACAAGAAACACACACACACACAGAGAGAGAGAGAGAGAGAGAGAGAGAGAGAGAGAGAGAGGGGGGGGGAGAGGGAGAAACTCTGACCATTCTTGAAGTAGTCATAGACTAATCCATTACTTGGTATATCTTGGCTCTGTTCCCACTTCTCCTGACTACCCCATACCTCCTGTAATGACCTTGATTTTCTTTTAGCTTCCTCCTTACACATAGTCAGTCCTCTTTACTCCTCAGTGGTCTTTGGGAGCACAGAGGGAGTCAATATGCCTCTAAGCAGAGGGCAAGTATCTCAACTCAGAGTCTGCATTCATGTAATGTTTGAGCTTGTGTGGACTCTCCTTCCCAGCCGCTCTCTGCCAATTTCAGACCTTGGCCTTCATTCCCAAGTGAGAAATGAATAGATTAGAAGTGTGAATATTTTAACAATCATTTTCTGTAAAGCAACAACAGCCTTCATTTTCCATAGAGGTGGTCCATTTTTTTCAGTGCCTTTATTAGTTAAAATAGATTAAATAAATAAATAAATAAATAAATAAATAAAACAAATAAAACAAAACCCCAAACAAACAAACAAACAAAGAAAAACAAAATCAAGACAGAGGGTGAGGAGACAGCTTGGTGAGTAAAATGCTCACTGTGTAAACATGAGGCCTGCATTCCACCCCAGAAGCCAGGTCAGAAAGCCAGGCATGGTGCTCACACTTGTGTGGGCAGCATGGGGAGGGAAAGATCGGCAGGTATGTGGGGCTCCATGGCCAGATAACCTAGCATACTTAGCACACACCAGGTCAATGAAAGATCCTACCTGAAATAAAGGCAAAAGTGAGGACTGACATTTTGGAGAGAGGAAAAGAGGGAAAGCAGGAGGGAGGGAGGAGGGAGAGAGGGAGAGAAGGTGAGAGAGAGAAAGAGATCCCAAAAATCTAAAATAAAACTTTGCTTAACTTGATAGATTATTCTATCACTGTGCACTGAATTTTCTTTTACACCTTTTTTCATTTTTTAAAAAACTGACTCATATTTTTTATTATATATGTGCATGGTGTGTGTGTGTGTGTGTGTGTGTGTGTGTGTGTATGTGTCTGTGTGTATGTATATGTATCCCAGAGGGCTAGGATCCCCAAGACTGTAATTATAGGGAGTTGTGAGTTGCCACATGGGTGATGGGAACCAAACTTGGGTCCTCTGGAAGAGCAGCGAGTGTTCTTAACTTCTGGGCCATCTCTTCAGCCCCTGTGCTTTAAATTCTCAACTGTTAGGTCATAGATAACATTGAACACATCCTATCTTCACTGCCTGGTTATATTTCTCCCGCTGTGATCTGAACTTTGACTGACTTTATTTCTCCTTCAGTAGAACCCTTCCTCCTAACAACCACCAACAGATCATCCAGTCTATCTCTGCCATGCATCAGCAAGGTAGAACACAGAGCACAGCTGGAACTTCAGTGGACAATTGGGGGATGGATAGAGAGGAGCCAGCTGCCTGGTGCCAGTCTTCAATGGTACAATAGAGCTGGAAACAGTGGCACACACATGTCACCCTAGCTACTCAGGAGGCTGAGGCAGAATGAATACAGAATTAAGACCTGACTGAGCTATAAAATATGTTCAAGTCTAGCCAGGGAAACTTAGCAAATCCTTAAAAAAAAAAAAAAGTAAAAAAGACGGCTTGGGATAGATATAGCTCAGTTGTAGAGTACTTGTCCTGTATGTACAAAGCCCTAAGTTAATATCCAGTGACCCTTCCCTTCCCCCACAAATAAGGAAAATCATAGTAAGACTATAAGCTGTTAGTCTAGCTGCCTGAGATTGTAGCCCGACTTTCCCATCTGCCTGCTGTGTGATGTTAGGCACATGACTTAACCTTTTGGAGCCTCAATACCCTTGTCAGTAAGAGAAATAAAAATACAATCTATGTAACAGAGCTGTTTCAAGAATTAGGGGCCATCCCCACCCCTCCCCCACCTTGTCTCTTCCCTCTATCCACCCCTGATGAGGTGAGGATAGGGCAGTGGGAGAAAGTCCTGGGAGAGACAACTGGATTGGGAAGGTGTAGTGCTGTCTCTGGGTCAAGTTAGAAATCTAGGATAATGGAAACTCCCAAGAATCTATGAGGATGACCCTAGCTAAGACTCCTAGCAATGGGAATCTGGAGCCCGAACCAGCCATCTCCTGTAACCTGGCAAGACTTCCAATGGAGGGACTGGGACACCAGCCCAGCCACAGAACCCTAGACACACATCTTGTCATGCTTACAAGATGTACAGGGGTGAAAGATGGAACAAAATTTGAGGGAAAAGGCTAACTAATAACTAGCCCAGCATGAGAGTCATGCCATGAGAAGGAACCAACCCCTGACACTGTTCATGATATTTTGCTATACTTGTAGACAGTAGCCTAGCATTCATTGTCATCATAGAGGGTTCACTCAGTAACTGATGGAAACTGATATAGAGACCTACAGCCAAACAGTAAGTGGAGCTTGGGGAACCCTGTGGAAGAGGGGGAGAAAGGATTGAAGAAGGAGCCAGAGGGGTCAAGGACACAAGACAACCTACAGAATCAACTAACCTGGGCCCATAGAGTCTCATAGAGACTGAACTGCCAATCAGAGAGCGTGCATGGGATGGACCTAGGCCCTCTGCACATATGTAGCAGTTGTGAAGCTGGGTCTTCATGTGGAACTCCTAAAGTGGAAGCAGGGGCTGTCTTGGTCTTCACTGCCTCTTTTTGGATCCCTTTCCTCTACCTGGACTGCCTTGTCTAGCATCAATGAGAGAAGATGTGCTTAGCCACTGTAAATTGATATGCCAAGGCTGGTTGATATCCATAGGAGGGGGAATGGGTAAGGGAGGGGGAGGTGAAAGGGAAGTCTGGGAGGGAGGGGAAGCTGTGATTGGGATGTAAAGTAAATAACTTAGTAAAAAAAAAGAAAGAAAGAAAGAAAGAAAGAAAGAAAGAAAGAAAGAAAGAAAGAAAGAGAGAAAAAGAAAGGAAGGAAGAAAGAAGGAAGGAAGGCTAAGCATATGACATAACTTCTGGCACATGGCACTTTTAAAATTATAAGATCTTTAGTAATTATCTGACAGTTTCATAGCATGTAGTGTGATTATACTCATCCCCACGTCTCCCCATATCTCCTTCAAGCACCATCCCCTCACCCGTTCATCCACTCCCAACTTCGCGCATGCTTACTTACTTGTGCTCTTTCTTCTCTATCTCTTGCTCACTTACTCAGAAACACCAAGTCTTAGTTTACACTGTCATACACTCATGGATGTAAGTTATCAGCTGGAGCATAGTCAGTATACCAGGGGTTAAACCCTTAAGGAAAACAGACTCTCTTTCTTCCCCAGAAGCCCTCAGCTGTCAGTAGCTTCTCAGGTATGGAAAGTAGTGAAGCCCTTCCCCTCTCTTGCTGGAATGTTGCCCGACTAGGTCTTGTGTAAGTGACCATAGAGGCTGTCAGTTTGTGAGTCCTATCATGGCCAGAAGTTGTTTCTGCTCCAGTCCTCTCTGAATTCTGGCTCTTAGATTCTTCTCACCCATCTTCCACAGTGGGATGACATCAGTGCCCTGTTTGTGACCTTCTCTGTTTGTGAGCACCCTGCTGACCTTCTCTGTACTTTGATTAGTTGCACAACTCTTGTTAATTGTTAAGTATGACTATAGCTACCATGGCCATTTAAATAGTCACAAACTTAGGAATTTCATTGCCTTTCTCTGCATTCCTTTCCTTGTTCTCCCAGAACCTTCTAGAAGACATAGGGCATGATAGTAAAGAAAACCAGACATTAGAAAGAAAGATTTTACAAAATGGAGAGCACATCACCTCTCATTCCTCCCTCATGAGACAGCCCATCTGTCCTGCTTTTTCCATTTACTCTGCTGAACTGGCTTCTTTGGGTCACATGAGACATACGTGCAAGCAAATACTGAAAAAGCTCTTGCATGCACTCTAGCTATACCAAATATTGGTATTGATTAAGAATGGGCATATTAACCTAATACATTTTACTGTTTCAACTCTTCTAATGATCTTATAGTTGAAGGTTAATTTGATGACTATATCTCATGTGTTGTATGTGTATTTGGATGTATGTGGTGAGGAAGATATCTTAGAGATAATCCTAATATCAAATAGGTTTGTTAAATTTCTCATTGAAGCATGTTAGATAAGTTAACTGATGCCTGTGTGGGTAGCAAGGTTGTTAAAACATATGTTGGTCCTCATGTTTGGACTCCACCACCTCCTATATTATAAAGAAGTATTTTAGAGGGCTAGTTTTCCATGGAACATTTTTTTTTTCAGAAATGTTGCCTTATAGAAAAATGGAGAAGATTATCAAGTGTCAGGCAACTGAGAGAACAGACTAAGAAGGCGTTTTGCTTCTTGGTGGCCAGAGTTGTTGGTGATTAGATTAAAGAAAGAGTGCTTAAGTTTATATGTTATGTATCTGTGAAAGAAAATAGATGTTTTGTGTCTCCAATGAAAGATAACATATTTTAAATATTCTATAAAATGGATTAAATATTCTGTGGTCAATCTACCCTATATAAATCTCTAAGGAGATACTCATTTGGAACATTTTTATCAAAGAAGAGACTTCCTGAATCTGTCCAAGATGGGTAACAATTGCAGAGTACAGAAGCAATGAGCCTTTAAGAGTGCCCTCCTCTCATGAACTTCCCTTGGTGAGGGCCCACTCTTCCCTAAACCTCCTTATCTACCCCACTTAAGAAGTTGTAATGTAACAATCCTAACCTCTCTTCTCTCTTCCTCCCCTCTTCCTTTCCCTTCCCCATTTTCCTGCCCCATGTTTCCTCCCTTGGTCTCCAGGAACCTTCTGCATCATTTCACTGTGCACCTGCGTGGCTGGGATCAACTTTGAGCTATCACGTTACCCACGCTACCTATATGGACTCCCGGATGACATCAGCCATGGCTATGGATGGTCCATGTTCTGTGCATGGGGCGGCCTGGGCCTCACACTAATCTCGGGATTCTTCTGTACCTTGGCCCCCTCTGTTCAACCTGTCCCGAGGACCAACTGCCCTAAATCCAGACCAGAGAATGGGACAGTGTGCTAAAACAAAACAAACCCATATCTATATATATATATATATAAATATATATATAATATACATATATAAAATGAAACTCAATCAAGATGATGCCAGTGCCAAGATAGAGTTGAGTTGGCTCAGGCACCTGCATCTCACCGGACTTTGTGTTGCCTCATGTCCAAGATGGGAAAAGTGTCCCCATCCTGTGGCTCTCTCATCCGTTTTTGACTTTGGCTTCATGATTTCTTCAAGACAGAGTGAAAGCCACCACAGGCATCTTGATCCTTGTCACTTGTAAGGATGTGGTGGTGAGCTGGAAGGGACAGAGGCAGTGGTCTAAAGCAACACAGATACAGAGAAGGAAGTGCCACACTCTGGGCCAACAGGAGAGGACACCACCACTACCCCAGCCATCATATCATGGGGGAAACTCAGACCCTTGAGTTCATAGAATGTAACCACATCTTTGAGGCCATTTTCAGAACCACTTCTCTGCTCTTCCTGTTCCAAGCTCCTTCCCAACCCACCAGCGACACAGCACAAGTGGAAGAGAAAACAGACTGAGAAGGAAGTTTTCTCTTTGCGGCCAAACCTTTGGACAATGCTTCGAGGTGGGAAGGGGAGACGAGATGCTGAGAAGCAAGAGCCACATCAACTAAAGGACATTTCAGTGAATGCTCAGAAAACCCAGTCTTACCTTCCAGCTGCCTTACACCCAGTTAAACAAGAGGCCACCCTGTCCTCCCCTGCCTGTGCTCTCTGGGCAGATTGGAGCCTTTGAGTAATGCTGTGATGTGTGTGTGTGTATGTATGTGTGTGGGTGGGTGGGTGTGTGTGCACACACACATGTGTGTGCACATGCGTATAGGTGTTGGGTGGTTACTTTTTTCTTTTCCACTCTGTGAATGGAACTATCATATGACTCTGTTGTCTCTCTCACTACACTTGTTTTTGACCCATTATAGAGGCCCCAAGAACTGGGAATTATCTTGAGGGGCAGGCCTTCAGGGGTGCCAACGCAGCAGCTGCAGATCCCTGGAGAGAGACAAAAGTGAGTGTGGTGTGTGTGTGTGTGTGTCACACACATGTGAGTGCACATGTGGTGAATATTTCATGAGTGTGGGATTTTATTGTTTGTGTTGCATTTTTTTTTCTATTATTTTGGTACAGCTGAAATTCCCAGAGGGCAAACCAAGGACAAAACTACTGGGCCAGAGAACCCTGTGGTACCTCACAGTATGGTTCTGGAACTCCGCAAGATTTAGTCCACTAATTTTGCAAGTTCAAGACACAGCTGGGCACAAAAGTCATAAGAGACGAGGGGGAAACATACAGTTCAGGAGAGAAAAGGAATTTGCCTCTGGTTTCTGATGTGTGAGTACGTATACCAAACAAGACCTTCACTCCCCACTGGGGGGCTGTCCTTTGTCACCGGACATCCACTCCTTTTCTAGGGGCGAGCCCTGTACAGAGGAAAGGAAATGAGTCACACGCAGAGAGAGCACGTCCATGTCCCGTGGGCTCACGTTTGTATGACATGATGTAAAGTAATGGAAAACTCTTGACTCTTTCCATTCTCGTCCCTTTCCTCTTGATCTTCAAAGGCCATGAATCCCAAAATAGCTATCTAGCTTAGCGGCTAGCACCCAAACTGAGGTGCCATCCAAGCTGACAAGGCCATCCAGGTATCTCAGGCTCACCTGAGCAAATTCGCACTGGGTGCTGGCAAGTGAAGAAGTCAGCCAGAGCTATGAATGCCACAGGGCAGAAACAGCTCACGGTTGGTTACCTTGGGAACCCTGCTGGTGCCAAGTGTCCTTGGGGAGGCAAGGAGAAAATCCTGAGCTGGCCCAACCATGGTCAGCCATGCAGAGGGGGAGGTCAGCTGCTGCAGAACAGATCTGCTTTGGAAACTTTGCCAACCACTTGGCAGCCTTTCTCCCCCTCGTGCTCTGTCGCAGCTCCCTGTTTCCATCCTCTGTTCCTACCAGACTCCTCTCCTAACAGCTTCCTTCCCCTCCCTCCATCTACCAGGCTGTAGGTCCTGTTCTTCTTCTCATCTGCTCTCTCTCTCTCTCTCTCTCTCTCTCTCTCTCTCTCTCTCTCTCTCTCTGTGTGTGTGTGTGTGTGTGTGTGTGTGTGTATGTGTATGTGTGTATAACTCCTATTGGGTATAATATCTGATGGATTTCAATGTGGGTCTCTCTTTGGGTGTGTCACTCTGGTGCATTCTGTGTGTGTGTGTGTGTGTGTGTGTGTGTGTGTGTGTGTGTGTGTGTGTGGTGTGTCATTGTGTATGCATATACAGGTGTGGATGCATTTCTCAAGACCCCCTCATAAGGGCCCTTGTCAGAGTCTACAGCAGATCTTGCATGTAAGCACCAATTGAATAGGAGTACCAGTTGAATAGCAGCAAGCTGGTGTCAGGAAATGCTGCTGGCGTCCAATTGAGATTTTTTTTTTTAATTAACTTATTTATTTACATCAAATGCTGCTTCCCCTCCTGGTTTCCCCTCCCCCATTGAGATTTTTAAGGATCATTTAAAAGACAAAGGATGTATTGTATGATAAGGGAAATCATTTTCTAAAAACTCAATTGTTTTAAATTAACAATTTTTTCTTTGAAAAGCTAGATTTTTTTTTTCCTCTTAAGGTGAAAGATGTACTGAGATTTGAGGGAAAAATGAAAGTCTCTCAGATTGAGAGATCTTTTGTTTTCCTTCTGGGTGTCTTGAGCTGAGCAGGAATAAGCAGGTAGGTATCCATGAACACCCACCTGGGGCACTTTTCTGTGACTGGATGCTAATTCCAGCTGTTTTCCAGTTACAAAAAGATGGAGGGAGCTAAGCCAAATGGGACATTTTATTATTGACTATTTAAACTTTTCTGGAGTAAACTTGAACATACTTGTTCACAGAATGCTCATTTGTGCTTTTTTTTTTTTAAATCATACTGATCTTAAACGTACCATCTGCTCTATCCAATCACCCAACACCATAATAAACTTTTAGGAAAACTCAGTGGCTTCATTTGAAACACAGCATTCCTGAAACGTCAGATGGACTCCCAGGAAGGTGAGAGACTCTCTGCGCTCAGTTCATCAACTCAGCAGCAGCAGAACAGGACCTTAGAGTAACTCTTTCACTCTTACAGCTAGACAGGGACAGACACAGATGCTGGATTCTGATCCTTCTTACCAACAAAACAAGCTCAGGCACCTGATCAGCATAGAAGTCTCCACACTGATAGCAGATAGCAATCTCTGTCCAGGTGTCCCTCTACTACAAGGGATTGACGACTGGTTAAAACAAGCCCCTCTGAGGCAGTTTCTGGAGCTTTCTGGCTGTGAGGTTGCTAGGAAATATGTAAAGGAGAACCAAGAGAAGTGTCTTGGTTTGTGACACCCTCTAGGGCAGACTCCACTAACTCCAAATCATAGACTCCAACCTTTTGAGGGCACCCTGGTTCCTACCCAGGTCAAGTTCTAATATCTGTGTGTATACAAGGAATACAGTTGCACATGCTGTGGGCTCTGTGCAAAGCAAGGGCACGAGGCCACTTTCAACATTCATTTCTTTTGCTCTCTCCTAGATTGGAAAGTTGAGATCTAACTAGGGCAAAGTACAATTTCCTGTTCTCATTGGGGAATTATGGCACTTTTTCTGCTTTCCTTCACCCCTGGCTTTCCTTATGATCCATTTGTGACAGTTATCTTCTTAGGGAGGCAAGATACCTCAAGCACCTCTCTCCTTGTTTTCCATGGCCTGAGGTCTCACAGGGAGGTGTGTGAATCACAAACATAAGAAGAAACTATCTGTTCTAGCTTTAGTCACTGGACAGTTTTTCAGCAGCCCCCCTTTCTCACCTCTAGGGATCATGAAATCATAATTAGAGAGCTTCCTCAGAGCCAGGTAAGTCTTCTTTGGCCTCAGGTCCTTCAGTGGTAGCCTGGGCCTCAACACCGTGCTAGTGTATTCTCCCCCAGGGGAGGTTTTCTACCCAAATGTGTCACCTTTCCTCAATAGGAAAGGGTACTCTGAAACTTTGCATCTCCTTAGACATCCATATACACGGTAAGAGACCTAATTAGAAAGTACCACGTTTTTTTCTCCTGACTTCAGGAAGATGTGTTATTTAGGTCTTTATTGCTGCCCACCTATGTAATATTCAGAATAATAAGGTCAAACTCATTGCTCAGAGCATTTGGTGTCTTCTGTCTTTGGCTGGGAACATTCATTCACTGATTTTCAATCATGTAGGTGAAGAAATAGACTCAAGACACCCTCTGTCTTTGTTTGTGTGGAATACTGGTTGCTTCTCATAGTTAGAGAGAATCTTCTTTTCTGGAAATGTCTCTGCTTCTTCTGGCCTGATATGCCCCAGTGAACACATCCATCCCTCTCCAGGGAAACATGATGAGTCAGAAAACCTGATTTCACAGAGAATAACAGCAAGCCTTGCTGCTATCTTCCAGCCCATATAGACAGAGGAAAGGGGTGGATTTTTTTTTTAAAGCAAGTCCTAAGAGAAGATGCATCCAATGATTCTGGAGCCTCTCAGGGTGCTTGACTTCTGGGTCACGTTTACCATCTCTCCCTCCATGCTGCTATGTTGCAAAACATTTTGTTGACATTGGTCCTAGTCTTTAGACTAGGTTATTACCAGCTATTGAGCTTTCCTCCCTGGGGATTACATGCTCCTGTGGGAAACTAGGGGAAAAGCAGGCAACAGACTGAGAGACTAGTCAGAACCCAATCGCTCTGAGGCCCCTACCATGGACCCAGTCATAAGGGTCAGATCTCAGAACATCTTCAATGAATGGTTGTCATGGAGTGAATAGATAGGACCAAAATGACGTGGCATGACCACAAAACTGCACCAATTGGCATCAGTGACTTTGTGTTCTTGGCAGCAATACAAACTGGAAGGGCAGCAAGGAGTCATTTGAAAGCTCATGCCAGAGCTAAATATCCCCCTCCCACCTTTCTCCCCGGCTTCTTTTCTTCAGGTGCCATTTCAATCTA